CCCAGGATTTTATCAGTGTGGGGAACTCCCAGGGAGCAAACTCCCTCCACAGACACTGATGGGCAGCCCCTGGGCCACAGACATCCTCGGAAAGGAGCCTGGGGCAGAGAGAGATAAAGGGATTCCCTTAGGGTTACACAGCCAGAGAGGTTAGAGGGAGGCCTGGACATCTGTAGGCCAGCCCTCCAGGTACTGCCGCTGCCTCTCTTATTCAGTTATGTTAAGGAAGAAATCCCCTCCCGTCCCCAGACTCTGAGGCATCAGGAGGAGCTGGGGCTGAGAGTTTGCTCATCTATAAAACAGCATCTCTGGACCACTGACCCGGCCAGGGGAGCCTGTCTTCCTAAGAATATCTGACAAAAGAGCACCTCCAGGAAAAAGAGGCCTCAGAAAAAGGGATTTGGGAAACTTCGGAAAACCTCAAGATTACAGCCAAGACAGTCAAGTGTGCTTTGGAACATACTTACTGCTTTAATCATATTTATTATTACCACTCATTTTTTAAGAATTAAATTGAAATTTTCATTTAATTATTACTAATAATAACAGCTGATACATCAACTGATCAACAAGCATCCATTAAGTACCGACTGTGTGCCTAGCACTGTGCCAGATGCAATGCTATAGATGTAAATAAAACAGGTCTGCTGGGGTCGGGGGAGGGGAGGGGAGGGTAGGGAAGGCGGTCAAGATAGCAGCAGCATTCTCCCCCTCCCCCTCCTCTCTGTCTGTCTGTCTGTCTCTGTCTCTCTCTCCCCTCTATCTTTCCACTCCTCTCTGTCTGTCTGTCTCTGTCTGTCTGTCTGTCTCTCTCTCTGTCTCTGCCTGTCTCTCTCCATCTGTCTCTCTGTCTGTCTCTCTCTGTGTCTCTCTCTCCCTTCTATCTTTCCTCTCCTCTCTGTCTCTCTCTCTTCTGTCTCTGTCTGTCTGTCTCTCTCCCCTCTATCTTTCCACTCCTCTTTGTCTCTGTCTGTCTGTCTCTCTCTCTGTGTCTCTGTCTGTCTCTCTCTCTCTCTCTGCCTCTCTCTCTCTCTCTGTCTCTCTCTTTGTCTCTGTCTGTCTCTCTCTCCCCTCTATCTTTCCTCTTCTCTCTGTCTCTCCCTCCTTCTCTCTTCTCCTCTTTTTCCTCTCTCTCTTTCTCTCCACCCCCTTAACCCCTACGAAACTGCTCTGAATAACTCAGTACCTACTTCCACCGTCCTTCTCAGTTCATATGCCCGTGGCATAAGCTCATTGGGGTTGGAGATTCCTCCACTTCTGTCCCACAAGGTGAAACCAGGGGCAGCCCTCCACGGCCAGGCCTCTCCGGCCTACCCCCCAGACTTCTTCTATGAGGTCTCGGCACTTTACCCTGGAGCTCCCACACGGGAAGCGCCCTCTCCGCCCACCTCACAGCTCCCCACAGACCCTCCCTTCACGGAGGGCGCCCAATCCCCACCAGCTCTCACTCCTCTCTAGACTTTCTCTCCCGTGGCCCTTCCTGTTCTCAGCCTCCTTTTAAGGGCCGTGTGCCCTCACTGGAATGTAAGCCCCTTCAGGGCAGGGACTGCCTTTCTTTCTACTTGTGTTTGTACCCAGAGTGCCAGGCACACAGTAGGTGCTGAGTAAATGCCTGTTGACTGACTGAAAGAAAAGTCACAAAGGACAAGCTGGCATGAGGGAGTTTAGGGTTAGGTTTCTGGAGGGAAAGATCACATCACTCATGTCACAGATCCACTGAAGAGTACGAAATGACCCCAGGAGGGGTATTAATGAACCCATTTTACAGATGAGGAAAGTAAGTCTTGCCCCAGATCACCCAGCCAGAAAGGGTTAAAGTCAGGAAAAGAAATAAGGATGATGATGATGGTGGTGGTGGTGATGAAGGAGGAGACAGAGTGAAAAGCATGGCAGATTTGAAGTCCCAGGACTCGGGTTCAACTCTCAGCCTTGACTGTTTGCTTCCCTTCCAGGGCCTGTTCTCTCCTCTCTAAAATGACAGGGTTTGATCTCAGTCTAAGGTCCTACAAGCGTAGGCCTTAATCTTCCTGGACCTCAGTTTCTTTTTCTGTAAAATGAGGGGGTTCTAAGATCTCTCCCAGCTCTGCATCTCTGGTCCTTGGAGGCTTTAAAGTTTGCTGAAGCACTTTCTGTATATTATAACACACGTGGAATCCTCTGACATGGGGGCTGTCTTTTCCATGACCAGCCCATCGTCCCACTGCTAGCACCAGAGGCAAGATTCAAACTCAGGCCTCTTGTGACCCTTAACTCTTTGTCGGGGAATAAAGCCCTTCTGTCCCAGAGCTCGAAGAACACAAGGACTGCTTTGGGGGAGGAGAGGCAAAGTGAAAGGGAGGGCTGGCAGTCTTCTCCAGGTCTTTATCTGAACAGCCGTTTAGACAAGGAGGTCAGAGTTCAGGGAGGAAGACGCTGAGGCCAGAAAGGAGATCCAGGAATGAAACAGTGTCTCTGTGGAACCCCAAAATCTCAGAGGTCCAGGGGGTGTCATCTCATCTGACCTGATAAGACCAAGAATCAGCGAGCATTCACTAAGCCCCTAGACAGCCCCTGCCCTGGAGAAGCTCACATTCTGAGCCCTCTATGATCGATTTTCACTTGTCCTACATCCTGGACCCCCTGGCCTTCTGGTGAAACCCAAGGAGCCTTCCCTCCCTCCATCTGCTTCTCAGTTTTCTCCTTTGTAAAATAAAGAGGTTAGACTCTATGACCTCTGTGGTCCCTTAAACTCTAAATGGAGATTTCATATTCTCTTCGTCTTAATTCAATCAATTATAAAGCAGCTAGACTGTGTCAAGTGCTGATGCTATAAAAAAGGGGGGGTCCCTGCCCTCTAGAAGCTTGCATTCTAATGGGGGTGGGAGGCAGGGAGAGGTTCACCCAGCCCAGAGATAATCGAATACAAAGTGAACACAAAGTAATAATTTAAGTATTTCCCGAGGGAGGGGGCTAATAACTGGGGAGAAATCAGGAAAGGTTTCAGGTAGGAAGTGGTACCTGAGCTGTGCCCATAGAAAACTAAAAATGACCAGTTTTTAGCTGCTGAATTCTACCCCAGCCTCAGCGATTAAAACCTGCACCCAGACTGATCCAACAGGGCCAGGATTCAACAAACCAGACCAAAAGCCCTCTGCCCCAGGCACCCAGAGACTACTGGGCCCAGTGCCCAAGGGGTGGCCCGAGCCAGCGCTCTCCCCTGCCTTCCTATTGACCAGAAGGGTTTGGCGCTAACAGGCCTGAGACATCCTGAAACCCACCATCAGGAGGGCTGAGCTCAGTTTCAGCTCCAAGCAGGGCTTCAAAAGAGAAAAGTCTCACCCCAAGTTTGATGTCTCTGTAGATTTGGGGCTCCCCCTTTTTTCTCCCATCCATGGGAAAGTATATCGAAGGTTCAGTTCCCCATGGAGTGTAGGGACCCCAAATTAGCCAGCAAGCAAGAAGCTATCCAGGGAGACAGAAGAAAATTGACTTTAACTTCCTCCTGGTCACAGGGACCAAAACAGGGCAAGATGGGTTTGGAAAATTTCCACTTCTCATCCCCCACCAGGCTCAGGCTCCAGGGGAAAAGAGGGGACAGGCACTGGAGGTGCAGAGGGGAGAGCCCCAGCTGCTGGTCCCCCACGAGGTTCTGGGTGCAGCCACAGGTGGGGCAGGGGATGATGGAGACACCAGCCCCCCAACTCCTCCCCTGCTCACACACAGGGAGCCTCAAAGATTGCTAGAGCTGAGCAGAGCCTCGGAGACCCTCGAATCCAAACTCCTTCATCTAACAGGGGAAACGGAGGCCCTCGCCCTCCGAGGAGCTAAGCTCCTCGGGGGGCAGGTCCACCGTGTTTCTGTTACTAGTCGCAGCAGCTAAGCCTGCCCACGTTAACGAGTGCTGGGGATCGAGGGGAGACAGGAAGGGGAGCCCTTGCAGGCTGGTAAGAAGGGACAGCCCCAGAAAGCAGGACCCGGCAGAACCCTTTAAACCAGTGGTGTCCAGTTCAAATGGAAATGGACCAGCAGGGCACAGAATGACTTAGAAAACCATGAACTGACACCGTCTATGTCGCATTGTATTTTTTGTTATTCATTTTGTTAGTGGCTTTAAAGGATGACGGAAGAGGGGACCCTTCAAGAGGGCAGAGGAAGCCTTTGAAAGGGGGCACTGTCTAGCGGGCGGAGGGGGAAGAGTTCTTAAAAGAGGGGGTCTTTTTACCGGATAAACGAGACTATTTAAGGGGAGGGCTCTGCCCGAGCCAAGGGGAATTTCTTAAAGGGAAGAGGCTCTTTAAAGGGGGGAGGGTATCACTTTCCAGGGGGGAGGGGAAATTCTTAAGGGGGGGGATTGTCTTAAAGAGGGTGTGTCTCTTGGGGGGGAGGGCTTCTTAAAGGAGAAGTCTTCTCTTTCTAGGGGAAGGGGACTTCTTAAGGGTGGGGGGAGGGTCTCTTTACAGGGGTAGCGTGGCTCCTTAAAGAGGAAGTATTTCTTTCTAGGTAAGACAGACGGCTCCAGGAGAAGGGGATTTCTTACAAGTGCGGGGAGGGCTTCTCTCTTTCCAGGGGAGGGGGGGCTTCTAAAAGGAGGAGTTGTCTCTTTCAAGAGGACAGAGATATCTCCGTGGAAGGAGAGTTTTTTAAAAGGGTGGGGGTTGCTCTTTCCAGGGAAGGGGGCTTTTAAAAAGGGAGAGGGCTGTCTCTTTCCAGGGTGGGGGATGTCTCTTCTAAGGGAGGGGAATGGAGGTTTTTAAAAGGAAGAAGGCTGCCTCTTTCCTGGAAAGGGGGCTTCTTAAAGAGGAGGGGGCTGTCTCTTTCCGGGGAGGGGGCTGTCTCTTTCTAGGGGAGGAGGCTTCTTAAAGAGGAGGGAGCTGTCTCTTTCCGGGGAGAGGGCTTCTTAGAGAGGAGGGGGCAGTCTCTTTCAAGGGGAGGAGGTTGTCTCGGTCTCGCTCCCTTCCCGGGCCTGGGGCTGGGGGAGGGCGGCGCAATCCGGAGGGCTGCCTGGCGGCGGCGGCACTCACCGAAGAAGGGCGGCAGGTGAGCCACGGCGTCCAGGAAGGGTCCCGTCTCGATCTGCTTGTCCGCCGGCAGCGGCTTCAGCAGGTGCTCGGCCAGCAGCGCCATGGCCGGGTCGGCGTTCGGGCCCAGCAGGAAGGCGGCTGCGGCCGCTGGGTCGCGCCCCCCCGCGGCGCCAGGACCCACTCCTGCGCCTGCGCCTGAGCCTGCCCCGCCTCCTTCCCCGCCCGCCGCGGCGTCCTCGCCGCCATCGCCGCGGCCGCCTGCCTCCGCCACCGCGCCGCTGTCTGGATTCGCGCCACCGAGCCCAGCCTCCAGCCGAGCTAGCAGCGCCGCCCGCCGGCCTCGGGCCTAGCCTAAGCTACCAGATGCGCCCCGCCCCCTGCAAGGCTCCACCAATGGCGAGGCCGCGCCCCACCAGGCCCGCCCAATCCCCGCCCTGGGTACGCCCCCAACCCCAGCCGCGGCGTCCATTGGCTGGGCCCGGGCCGAGCGGGTTCCACCCCGCCCACTCTGTGTGGTCGGGGGAGCGGGGATGCGGGGAGGGAAGGGGAGGGCACTGCCCCATCGGCCCAGCCCCATAGGGGTGCGGAGCTCGGGGCGAGGTGGGGCTCCCCTATCCTGCAGCCTCGCCCAAGCGGAACCGGCCCAGCCCGGATCAGTGCTCCCTAGACTACAGCCAGCCGACCTACCCTGCATTGATTAAGTATCTCTTGTGAGCCAGGCACGGTGCTAAGCACTCTCCATTAGCCGGCCAACTGGCATTTATTAAGCGCCTACTATATACCAGGCCGAGCAGTGGTCCAGCTGATGCTCGGCTACTGAGTTCAGCTGAATCCACCATAAGAGAGTTCTAATTGTTAGTCAACAAGCCATTTACTAAGTCCTTGGGAAACAAAGTCAAAAACACAGATTTCTGGACCTCCGAGAGCTTACAGTCTAATGTGGGAGACAACATGCAAACAGCCGTAATAATGATGCTAGTCAGGCATGTCTAATTCTCAGCGACCCCATTTGGGGTTTTCTTGGCAAAGCTACTGGAGGGGTTTGCCCTTTCCTTTTCCACCCCATTTTACAGATGAGGAAACTGAGGCAAGCAGGGTTAGGTGACTTGCCCAGGGTCCCGCAGCTAGTAATGTCAGAGGTCGGATCTGAACTCAGGAAGGTGAGTCTTCCTGACTTCAGGTCCAGCCCTCTACCCACCACACCACCTAACTGCCACCACCGCCATCATCACCATCATCATCAGGATGCTGCGTCTTGCTCCATTATTTTCCAGGCATTCAATAAGTATTCTCACATTTGATCTTCAACAGCCCTGAGAGGTAGGTGCTATTATCCCCATTTTACAGATGAGGAAACAGTCAGGCAAAGGTTAAGTGTCATACAGCTAGCGTGAATGGATTGGAACTCAGGTCTATGCTGGCTCTATGGAGGTCCAGGGCTCTACCCATTGCACCACCCAGCTGCCTTCTATGTATAGAAGATATCTATCCATATATGGGGCAATATATGCGGATATACTAAAAATTGTCTAACGATTTATATTTATAATAATATATGCAGTAAATTATTAGGAATGTTTAAGTGGATCAATCGCTTAACCTGCATGTGTTAAGCATCAACTATGTACTGTCTTTGTGCTAGGTCCTGGGCATACAAAAATAAAATCAGTTCTTCCCCAAAAGTCTAATCATTTCCAAAAGACCGCCCTACAAATCCCTGAAGACACCTCCCACACCCTGCCTAAGGCTTCCCTTCATTCATTCATTCATTCATTCACTAACACTTATTAGTTACTGGCTCTATAGTGTGCTCGGTGAGCTCTGCCCATTCCCAGCTCCTTCCACCCAGCCTCCTGCAGGAGCCTCTGCCCTGCAGAACCTCAAGCCTGGCAAAGCCCTTCCTAATCTGTGGCTGCCAGACATGAACACGATACACCACCTCTGTTCCCAGCAGGGCAGAGGAAGGCAGGGCTGGCACCTCCCTGGCTTGCCCCTAGGCCTTTCTCCATGCACTTTAAAATCACATTCATTTTCTAGGGTGCCAGACCACCAAGAGGTCACTGGGACTGTTTGCCTCCCTCACATTCATATTTATCATTTTTTACTCACAGAGCTGAAGTCAAAATTCACCTCAGTAATGCCCTACCTGTACCTGCTGCTCAAAGCCCAGGACCCAGTTAGCCAAGACAGCAAAACTTTTGAATAAAGTCATGGAAAGCACATTAAATTTGCAATTATGAGAGTTCTGGGTTCAAAACCAACCTCTACCTGTAATTTTGTGACCCTGGGCAAATCATTTAACCTCAGTAAGACTTCCCCTGATGGAGCTGCCTCTGTCACAGTTGAATGTACTATTTAGCTTGGGATAAAAACACTTTTTCAACTCTAACTCTCCTTAGGATTGAAAATGACTGGGTGGATGTGGTAATCTTTGTCCTACTTTGCTGCCCACAGTTGAGGTGCTTCCCTCCGCTATGACACCCATAAATGCTGTCATACCTCCTTCACGGGTTTGTGGTGAGGCTCAAATGAGGTAATGGATATATCCATTCATCCATCCATCCACCCATCCATCCATCCATTTATCCATCCATCCATCCATCTATCCATCCATTCATTCACCCATCCACCTATCCATCCGTCCACCCATCCATCCGTCCACTCACCCATCCATCCATCTGTCCATCTGTCCATCCGTCTATCCATCCATTCATTCACCCATCCACCCATCCATCCATCCATCCATCCATCCATCCATCCATCCATCCATCCATCCATCCATCTTCTGACAAAGACAAGAAGAAAACCATCTTCTCTCTCTACACTCTCTCACTTCCTGACCTCATCAATTCCTAGGGAGGGGGTGGGGAACCTGCAGCCTCACACACATGTGACCTTCTAGGTCCTTGGGTTCGGCCTTTTGACTAATTCCACTTTTGACTAAGTTTTCCGGAACAAATCCTTTTATTAAGGGGATTGTTCTGTGAAGTTTGGATTCAGTCAAAGAGACACATTTGAGGGGCTGGAGGGCCACATAGGACCCAAGGCTGCAGGTTCCCCACCCCTGCTTAGGGTTTCTCATAACATTTCTACGCAGACAGTTCCCAGGTCTATAGACCCAGCCCTAGTCTTTTGTCTCAACTTCCCTGGTCTCCAATTGCCTTTTGGATATGTACCCAGAGGCATCTCAAACTTAATGTGTTCAAAACAGAACTTATTATCTTCATCCTGACTCCTCTCAATGCCCTGTTACTGTCAAGGACACCCCCATCCTTCTGGTCATCCAGATGCAGGACCAAGGTGCCATCTTCCTCTCATTCACCCCGTGAATCCAATCTGTTGTCCCTCAGATCTTCCCCTTTCTCTCCACTCGTCCAGCTGCTACATCACCTTCTTCTCACCTCTTCTCCATACTACAGCAATAACCTCCAAATGGTCCCCTCCCCAATTCACAGCCTCCAAAGTGGACCATGTTATTCCCTTGCTCAATAAATTTCAGTGGTTCTCTCCTACCGCTGGTATCAAATATAAACGCCTCTACTCGACATTTATACCGTCTTATGCCTTACCTCCCCTTATGCTGTTGTAATCCGGTCACTGTGCTTTACTTTCTGGTTGTCTGCACGACGTTCCATTTCCTACCTTCACACCTTTGCATTGCCTGGTCCCCATGCACTCCCTCTTTTGCCTCCTGGGTCAGAATCCCTGGCCTCAAGTGCCACCTTATGCCTAAAGCCTCTCCTGATGCCTGCAGTCGCTTTATGTCAAGTCAATAAGGATTTGTTACGTGTTTTCTTTGTGCCAGAAACTGTTCTGGGTACTAGGGATTCAAAAAAAGGTGAATAAATACGTTGACCTTGTTCTTGAGGAGCTCCTAGTCTAATGGGAATGATGGCATGTAAGCATCTAGGAAGTTACACTCCCTCTCGGAACTCTCTTGTATTCATTTTGTACATATCCTGGATAAATTGATGTAGAGGAGGTGATTTGGCCATCTTGGGGAGCTGGAGCTCCTCCGTACAGTTCCCAAACTTGCAGGCTCTCCAAAGACATGGTGACTCATCATTTTGGCCTCTGGAGAAAGATGAGCTTCTGGCCATGTGGTATCCCAGAGCTGGAAGGACTTCTCTGTTTAGGACTACATGGGAAATGCGGAGTATAGCCCCTTGGCCCTCACCTCCCTGCCCACCATCACACCAATAGTCTGGCTTTGATTCTCTTGTATGGCATGTGATGGACTCTGTCTAGAGACTGTCTGGGAGGGGTCAAGGGAATGAACTGTGCTCTTGCCCCCACCCAGCTGCCATTCCCACGTGGAGCAGAGATACAACTAGGTGACCTCGTGCCTGGGTCCCCAAGTACTTTCCTGAGTAGGTGATTGCACAGCAGCCTCAAGGTGAACATGAGCAATTAATGCACTGTTGGTGGAGTTGTGAACTGGTCCAACCATCCTGGAGAATAATTTGGAACTATGCCCAAAGGGCTATAAAACGATGCATACCCTTTGACCCAGCAATACCACTACTAGGTCTATATCCCAAAGAGATTTTTTAAAAAGGGGAGAAAGGAATTGTGTGCACAAAAATATTTATAGCAGCTCTTTTTGTGGTGGCAAAGAATTGGAAATTCCTGGTATGCCCATTATTGGGGAATGGCTGAACAAGTTGTAGTATGTGGTGTGATGCAATACTGTATATAAGTGCTATAAGAAATGATGAGGGTAATGGTTTCAGAAAAACCCGGAAAGACTTACGTGAACTGAGGTGAAGTAAAGTGAACAGAATTAGGAGAACATTGTACACAGTAACAGCAATAATGTATATTGATCAACTGGGAATGACTTAGCTGTTCTCAGCAATGCAACAATCCAAGTTAATTCTAAGGGATGTGTGATGAAAATACCATCTGCCTCCAAAAGAACTGATGGAGTCTGGATGCAGATCAAAGCAGATTATTTTTCACTTTATTTTTCTCTTGGTTTTTTTTCTTTGCCCTGTGTTTTCTTTCACTACATGACTGATATCGAAATATGTTTTACATGACTCCACATATATAATCTATATCAAATTGCTTGCCTTCTCAATGAGGAAGGAGGGAAAGGAGGGAGGTAATTTGGAACTCAACATTTAGAAAGAAACTGATGTTTAAAAGTTTTTCTATGTAATTGAAAAAAGTAAAATATTTAG